AGATGCGGATACGCGCGGAAGCAGACTTTTAGTGGCGGAGGGCAAGGGGCGGTGGCGGATGTGCAGAAAGGGGAAGCAGAAGGGCGGGAAGGAGAGGAAACCCTCTTGTTGCGGTGGTGGGCAATGCGTCTCAGATCGACGTCTGCATTCCTACCGATAGAAATCTTCAGGTGGGCACCTAGGCTGCTCGACAAAAAAAATTCAGTCATTAATTATATTGTAAATCAAATGAGGTTTGTTCCTGCAAATTAAATATCTGTAGAGTATCTTGCAGTAATTTTGTCTCCCCTGCTGAGGTTACATGTTTGTATATTTCACCTATAAACAGGTCTACGTGCCATTTACTTTTTAAATTCTGCCTGTAATCACTGCATCAAGTCGGCAAGGTCCACACTCTTAATAACAGGAATTAGTGCTGCTCTGTGAGTGGTCGTAGAACACTGAATGTGCAGGACATCTTAGCCGTTCTCAGTGGACCGTTAGATCAGTTCTCCGAGAAAAGGAATATTTGACTTACTATTTTCAATTCTTGTATTTCTCAAAAAAACTTTTACTTACCTGTAATTTTCGCTCGAATTCTCGTGGCTGCTTGGCGGGGCGACGAAAGCGACGCGATGACGCACAGGAGGAGCGGCGATAGCGAGGTGAATATTGCGAGGCGAATATTCCGAGGCGAATATGGCGAAGCTGCTCGCCGACGTAGGCAACTCGCAAAAAAATGCCGTCATCGATTATATTGTAAATCAAATGATGTTTGTTCCTACGAAATAAATATCTCTAAATTATTTTTCAGCAAATTTCGTCTCCCCTGCTGAGGTTACATGTTTCTATATTTCACCTATAAACAAGTCTACGTGCCTTTTACTTTTTAGTTTCCGCCTGTAATCTCACTGCATCCAGTCTGCCAGGTTCACACTCTCAATAACAGGCGTTTGTGGTGCTCTGCCAGTGGCCTTAGAACACTACGTGCAGGGCATCGCCCTTTGCAGTTGACCGCACAACCAGTTCCCCGAGAAAAGGATATTTGCTATACTATTATCGATATTTGCATATCTCAAAAAAAACTTTTCTTACCTGTATTTTCGCTCGAATTTTCTTAGCTGCTTATCGACACGACGAATGCTACGCGATGACAGCCAGGAGGAGCGGCGATAGCAAGGGGAAGCGAGGCGACGATGGCGTGGCGTTGCGACGACAGCATGGCGAGGCGAGGCGACGGCGGCGTGGCGTAGCGACGCGACGCGACGACAGCTTGAAGAGGCGAGGCGACGATGACGTGACGAGGCGACGATAGCTCTGCGATGACGGCAAGGAGGAGCGGCGATAGCGAGGCGTGGCGACGATGGCGTGGCGACGATGGCGTGCACGGGTGGCTGTGGCGCTGGATGGCGTGGCCGGGCGTGGCGACGATGGCGTGGCCGGGCGTGGCGACGATGGCGTGGCCGAGCGAGCGACGACGGGCGGGCGTGGGGGGGGGGGGGCGAAGCGACAATGCCGTGGCGTGGCGACCATTGCGGGCATAGCGGGGATATGCGGCGGCGGGGCGAGGCGACAATGGCGGGGCATGCGGAGTATAACGCGCGTGGCGAGGCGACAATGGCGGGGCATGGGAGTATAACCGCGCGTGGCGAGGCGACAATGGCGGGCAGAGCAGGTATGGCGGGCATGGCGAGGCGACCAATGCGGGCATAGCGGGGTATGGCGGGCCGTGCGAGGCGACAATGGCGGGCATAGCAGGTATGTGGGGGCGTGGCGAGGCCGAGGCGACAATGCGTGGCGAGGCGACAATGGCCTGCGAGGCGGACAATGCCTGGCGAGGCGAGTGATGATTGGCTGCGGCGGCGATGCGAATACGTCTAGTCGTTCCCGCAAGCACCCGCTTTTCCTACCTTGCCTCGTCCACACGAATTCGTCCACAACGCTCGCGATATGGCCTCTTCAACATCGTTTAATCCACACGCATCGTCCAACCATCTCGTCCGGATCGAGAAGATTAGGCGCGATGCTGTGGGTAGACGAATGTCGAGAGGCTCAATCGGAAATGCGATTTAGACAAGCGGTGGAAGAGAGGTCAGTGGCGGAGAAGCGTGGCGGGGTAGGCCGGTTGCAGAGAGGGGAGCGACGAGGCGTGGCAGATTAGGCCTCTGGCAGAGCGGCGGCAGAGGCGTTGCAGGTTAGGCCTATTGCAGAGCGGCGGCGGTGAAGGCGTTGTGGGTTAGGTTGTGGCAGAGTGGCGGCGGAGGCAGAGGCGTGGCAGGTTAGGCCTGTTGCAGAGAGACGTAGGCAGAGGCGTGGCGAGGTATGCCTGTGGCAGAGCGGCGATGAAGACGCTGTAGCAAATAGGCGAGGTACAATTACAGAGCTTGCGTATCAGAGATGGAGGCGAAGAAAATAAAGCGGAGTGGCGGAGAAGCAGTGGCGGAGGACCAGAGAATGAGGACCAGAGAATGAGGACCAGAGAATGAGGACCAGAGAATGAGGACCAGTGAATGAGGACCAGTGAATGAGGACCAGTGAATGAGGACCAGTGAATGAGGACCAGTGAATGAGGACCAGTGAATGAGGACCAGTGAATGAGGACCAGTGAATGAGGACCAGTGAATGAGGACCAGTGAATGAGGACCAGTGAATGAGCAGTGAAAAAAGCAGTAAAAAAATATAACAATGAAACAATTGAAACAAGCATAGACTAACTTCTCAGAGTGCTGATTGAAAGTAGGGCTAGAAAAATTGTAATAAAGGTTGCATTCAACGCCTAACAATGCTAATGAAAGCTGACTTGCATTCATTTTTTATGAGAAAATATTTTTCATACTTCAGTAATGTATTCACTTTCTTTTAACATTGCACAAAGAACCTCTTCTATCAAGGCTGTTATCTGCACACTCTGATAAGCAACACACCTAAAACGCATTTAGCAAGTTATGACGTCTGACTCTGCATCTTACAGCTAGCCAAGGAGCAACACCAGAGCAGTCAATGGTTTAAAGAGTGAAAAATCACAGTCAAAAAAATCCCTAATAAATTAAAATAAACAAATATGGTCAAATGGTAACAAATATTGTAGCATTTATTTCGTGTCAAAAATGTTTGTTAGAGGATTTTGACTTCAAAATTTTAGATTTTCAAGCCCTAGAATGATTTGTTTAAGAGCTATTTAAGGACATTTTTGAAATCCTGTCAATTGTAGTTAAGGTTGCATTTGACATGAATATTGTTTTATTCTATAGCACTATCTAGTGAATTTTTCCCATATTTTAATAGTTATTCTGCTATTCCATGGTGCCTTCATTGTCAGGGAACAGATTATTTCATTCAAGAATACACATCAGTTACCATTGCTTCCTTCCAAACAATCAGGTTGAACATTAACAGCATTACCTGTACAGCAGGAGACAGTGCGTCGTCTTTAGCCTCCCTGGATCCAGCTGGTTTCAAGCTAAAGCTAACTGCATCTTTGTCAGCCTCTCCCAAGGGAATGTTGAGCATGCATGTCATGTAGTTCTCTAAGATCATCTCTGTCGAGAGAACAACTTCAGAGAACTACACTATTCCAAAACGGGATTCTGTAGCTAGCTTCAAAACTTCAGCTCTTGCATCTACAAGAAAAACAACAATCCATTAAATTTGGTTTATGCAGAATATTTGAAACACACATGAGAAACTACTTGCCCTACTTTGGGAACTAGGAGTTTGGAAGGCTTTGAATTATCTCTAATGTACAGTTTCTACTATACTATATATGTCGTGTGTCTGCATCACATTTTTTGTGAAGGAGCAAGCATGGTTCATTGCATGGGGATGCACCCGTTTTACAAACAATGCCCTATCAATGTATGAACAGGCAGTGACATAATGGAAACATTCAAGGTCTTGCATGGGCATTACCGCTCCGACCTAATCAACATTGAGTTTTGAGTGATGAGGGTGAACAACAAATTATTGAAGAAACCTCAAACCTCAAACGTCACTGCCTTTAGGTGGCAAGGAGAGGCACTCACCATTTGACCCTGTTAGCAGTTTATTGTCATCCAACACAAAGTTCAGGTTCCCTACCCATTCAGGATCCTCATTTTCATAAAATATTATTGGCTGTTTTGTTGATCACCTCTCATTATCAATGAGTTTTCTCAACAACAAATGAAAGTCCAATATTAATAGGATAGAGTTCAGAAAACCTGGGGATTCTTGAAGCAGTATTAGTTTGATAAACTGTACTAAACATATTAACATACTGACATTCTGTCAATAATTTCTTTCTACCAAATTGTGAACAGCAAAGCAGTGTTGCTTCTTATAAGGTCTTGATCATGACTTTCACATCTATTGTGATATATGAATGGAGGTCAGAAAGTGACTGGTTTGCCGTGCCATTACACGAGAGATGAAGTCACATTTAATTTGCAGCCGTCTTCTTTATCAGGAAGTACTCAATGGATAGTGATCAGAACCAGGAATATTTGTCCGTTTGTATATGATGTCACTGTTAGAGCAACACATTGGCTATGAAACTGGATCTTTAGCATATTGATCAGAGGTGTTTTCTTTTTGTGTGTTGCCACAGTAAATGTGTGTATGGAGTGCAATGGTATTTTTAATGGATCTTAGGGATCATGAGCATTTTACAATCTGTGGAACAGATGATAATTGTTCCCCATCACCTATTAAAAGCATACTTTCCAAAATGATCCATGAAATATTAATGCTAATGTATGTTTCATTAAATTAAAGGTTATTCATAATTTGAATGCGGAGCTTTGTAATTAAATCACACAGAGACATAATTATAAACAAATCATAATAAATATGAACCTGAAAAGGGAATATTAAGTAAATATCATAAATTATATTTTTCTCTTTTTAATATTATACTGAAATGCACATTGCATTTATCCAATGCAAGTCACTCTGCTTCGACAGTATGTGACCTCGACAATATGGGAGAAACTCGCAAACGCCTCTTCTTAGCACAGGTATTTTGCTACATTATCAAAGAATATAATTTTTTTATAGTTTATTTTAAAGCTGCTGCAAACTACAGTTTTGATTGAAATTAACCGATTTTTTTTATAAAAAATATACTCTAAAAGTTTTATATTAAATATCTGTTTTAATCCATGTTAATTTGCAACAAGTCTTTAACATACCTGATATTCACATACAAAAAGTATGATTATGGTGCCGAAAATTATTATGTATGCTACCAGAATATAAATAGTTTAATTTCTTCAAAATTGTTTCAATATTAAAACAATGATATAACTCTTGTCCAAATTTAGATTTACATTTGATTCATGAATATAATTAATTTTGAAGTTCATTCAACAATTTCCCTTTGCTATTCTGAAAATTCTCCTGAACCAATTTCAGGCATCTCTTTTTAATGAATTGTATTAATGTGATAATTAGAAATTGTATTTAAATATGTTTTCCACACTGAATTATTGTTGTACCTCATAGGCACAAACAATTACTAGTACTTTGAAAATTTAGTAATATACCGTTTATGAAGAGTTTTCCTATTTAAGGCAGTATTTTATTACTACAAACACTGACCCAACAACAAGGGAAAGTATGTGGTAGTTAATATTGAGAAAACTCATCAAGCGATTACAATGGGAGGACTACATATTACATTAAAAACAGGCGCAAAGCCTGGGAATGTCAGCATCTGGAAGAAATCACATGTTCGGAAAAGAAGACCAAGGTTGAAAAGGTTACAAGTGGCATTCTGGCTTTACAAATATAGACTTTCTGTAAAAAAAGCACTTTTGATTGTACATTACTATTTTAAGAATAAAAATAGTTTGTCAAGATTGAAGGATAGACTTTTTTTAATTTAACGCAAAATTATTATAGCTTATGCAAATTGAAGAAAGCAACTCATCAAAGGAAGCTTAACTCTGTTGCAACAAGAATGTACAAAATTAAATTGAAGAGAAACAAATTCCAAATGACACTGAAAACACAGTTCCACTAAAATTTTGCTTTTGAAATCAAAAAATAGCTCATAGCAGTGTTATTAGCATATTTTTACAAGGCCATCAACTTGATTAAGCAACCACAATACACTTGCACAACGTCAAGATGACATCAAAGTAATGAAGACAGCTGTCACAACAAATATGGTTACTTAAAGTGGAGTCTAAGAAAAAGATCATACAAAAAATGCAGGGAAACATGCTGGCAAATTTATTTTCAGGATGTGCACTAACACAATTTTTATTCATTGAATGACAGATGCAAAAAGAAAAAAAATATTGTGGTACCATATTTCCTTGATTTGCAGCAGGGAATATTTTAAGACACTACAAGCAGCAATTCATTTTTGTTTACTTTACAGATAATTATATGAAGTTCAGCTTCAAAAATTAATCTTTCTGTAAATTCCCATTAATAGGTTTCACATTAATACAAAATAACCAGATAAATGTTTAGCATAGTTTCATTAGTAATGACCGTTTCTAACCAATTATCGTAATTTCACACTAAAATATCACACATAGCCTAAAAATATAGCTTTTTAATCACCAAATCAAAAAACAGCTTACTGAGGCAGAAAATAGAGGGGGGAGAATAAAAGAGGTCCGAATGGGTTGAGAGATCATTGTTAAGCACCTTCTCCACCCATGTTTTGCCTACTGTACCCAAAACTGAGAGGAGGGCAGGAGAGCAATCAATTGTTAACGCAACTCTACACAATGGACAGAGTTTATTTACATACTTCACACAACCAGCACCAAAACAAATCTACTGCCTGAAAACAAAAAGGGGGCTGGCCAGTCATCTTTACCACTGGCGAGATCTTGTGAAATTCACTTGCAATTGTAATGTGCAACTACACGTTAAGAAATTAATTAATTACTCAGGGTTGCAGGAAACGTTTGGGCAACCCTGCCTATTGCATAGGCACGTCTTTCGCAGACAACTAATATAACCACCAGTAATTCCTCCAACACATTTCACACAAATTAGTTATCATGAATAACAATAACTAACAAACCCACTAGCAACGAAGAAACATACAAGTGGAATCCTTGCAAACTGAAGATGTAAGAGAAGTACTAAATTTCTTCAAAAGCAAGCTGCAACTAATATCCCTCTATAAATGTCATGCACACCGTAGATAAAATTCCGTGCATGTACAGCTTCCTGATCTTTCAATAATTAAGTTAATTACTTTAGGTTTAATGTTAAACCACCCTTTTTTAGCAACTCGAGAATCACTAGCAGCTTTCGCATTAAGTCCGGCCCCGTTTTAGCAAATAATATTGTATTAACACAGAAATTGAAAGCTACGTCTTTTCCGGAGATCCCCAAAACTCGTCTCATCAGAGTTGCAAAAAAGAACTGTGCATTTGTCAAGCCGAAATTTGCCCTCCGGAATTCTCCCGTGTGATTCTCAGTTATGAACGAGGTGTACTTTCTCGAGCCCTAAGCAATAGGTATGTGTAAAAACCCGCTAGCTAAATCTAGAACTATAAACAACCGCTATCCGACAAATAGTAAAGTGCGTCGTCAAAACGTGGCATGGGAAAATGCACCTTTTCCAGGTTTTGATTCAGGGCCCTATAGTCCACGGCCATTCTCACCTATACGTCGTTTCTCACGAGAAATGCGGAACTACCGTATTGCGAATCAGTTTCGCTAACTATGCCTACCGTTTTATATTCTTAGACAATATCATTTAGTTTTTCACGGTCTCGCAGATTTGTTCCATATGGCTGAACGCAAACACGCTTGCTCCCCGGATTCATTTTAATGAACATTTCCACCTCATTCGTACATCCTAACTCGTCCAACTCTTTGCTACACATACTCTATACTCATTAATGATTTTCAACAATTCAAGTTTTTGTTCATTTACGTCCGAAGCAGTAATCAATCCTTTTACCTCAATATGCTCATATCTAGATTTAAGCATAGGGACTACTTCTATGCTGAGTATATCACGGTCCACTTCAGTGTTCTCAACCAAGGTTACTGCGTCGTTCGCAAAATTGGTGCAGGTTACTTCTCTCACAGTTCCATTAACTAAAATATCAGTAAAGTTAATAGTATTAGGTGGCAATATCGGGTTTGAATTTACAATCGGCCCGTCCTCTTATTTCGAGTACGGGAAAGGCATTTACAGGAAAAATCTTGAACATGATTAAATTCAAACTTCTCCCTGAATCGTAAATGAAGGTCAGCCCGTTCTGTAAACGTTCTACCGATTATATCGTCGAATTTTTGTACGTCGTCCGGAACAACAAGAAACTTAATCGCGGCGCAAGATCATCTACTGTCAACAATTCTTGAATTATTCCGGGCGGATTGTATCGCGTTTTGTTGCTGCTCGAAACCTACCAACTCATTTTCTCGGGGACTTATTTTGAACCCCAAATTAAACGCGACTTGACCTAACGGTACACACGGCACTCCCCACGTCTACAAATGCTTTCACAGGCTTACCTCTAATCAAAACAGTTTTAGGAAGTTTCGAGATGGCATCATGATACACTGCGCCTTGCAAGAAGCCAACCTGTTTTTTAGTCTCACTTTTAATGAAATCAAATTTTCTGGCTAAATGCCCTACCAGATCACATTTGTAACATGTGACTTCCTTGCGAGGCGCTGTACAATGTCGGGCATGAACCGGACCATCGCACCTCTAACAGCGAAATGCGAACATCTTGCACTCCCCGTTGATCTGTTGTGTCATTCCGCCGTCGACCCACCGCTGGATCGTCGAGTTCCGCTGCTCGACTGTCGTTCTGATCGCCGCCACCTTCCCTGCTGCGAGGTTGGCTCGTTGCTCGTCTGCATCGGTACTGAAGGTTTCTTCCCGAAAAGTAGATTGCGCTCCTCGTCTCGTTCATACCCAATAAGTGATCTCAGGACATGATCGAGACCGGAAAACGTCTTTGCCATCACAAAGTTACTGGTTAAAATTTAGTATACGGTACACCCTTAGAGAAGCGTGGCGGTGAGGGGGAGGGGAGTCACCTGAAGCCGTCCCTCATATTAAGCTAAGCGCTCTGATAGAAATGAATAAAACTTACCGATTGACGATTATTACTGCTCGTAGAGTATGGACGCGCCCTCGAACGACAAAAACCTCTGTTGGGTTTTTGCCCCCTTGTAGGCGTCTCCAAACATTCTGCCAGGTAGCTGTCGAACTGGCCACCTGCGCGAACCATGACCCCTTCCGCACTGAACACTTTCGCACAAGAAGAGTGGCCCTTTTCTTGCTACACCCACTCGAAACCATCGCACCACTCCTTTCGCTTGGCCAACCTCCTTTGACACTTGCACACAAGATTCCTAAATCCTGTAACAATCAAACCAAGTTCTTGCGCCCATTCAAAAACAGCCAAACACCCCCTTCGGCGCAACACGTAAGAAAGCCATATTTATTCACACCATCGTAGAACAGACACTAGACACTCAAAAACACACATTACAAAGAATCTGAAGAACGCAAGAAACGTAACTGTACGTCAGCAACGTAGATAACCACTTCGACAGCTACCCCGACACGGAAAAACACTTCAACGCTACTAGGCGCCGCCATGAAATGAAGCTCCGACGAGATACTACGGTGAAATTGACCTCCCCTTCTAACTCTTGACGTCACGTTCGTGCCCAATTACGAACCATTAAAACTATTTTAGAAATGTATTTTTACTTTTTTAATTAAATCACCGCGCTTTGCTATATTATATGCTTATTATTACGCATATTGCTCACCACTTCTCCCCACCGAAAGATTCCCCTCATAATACCCTCAACACCCCTCGTCTCCTCCACCTTCGATTTCCTTTTCGCCGGAGCGGCGCGAAGTGCCGGTTTAAACGACTTGCTTAGGTTGTACCGTACCCAATCCATCTGGCATTCGAAGTTGAGCAAAAGTGGCGAATTGTTCTTCGCTCAAGGGCATCGAATCATCAAATGGCGACGAACACGTCTCGAGTCTACAACAAATACACCGCCATTTGTTTTCCACGAACTTTCTCGAACTAAGCACAAAAACTGCGAACGCGAAATATTGCCCTCACTCGCGCTCGCACGACTTCGGAAACAGTACTTCGCCAATAAAACTGTGTCTCGAGCGTACTGGATACACTATCCACTTCTGGTTAAGTTTGGTGTCTCCAACCTTAACCAGCGAAGGTACAGGGGTATCGCGCACACGCGCTAAGATAGGCCTTGACTGTCTGCCGACTAAATGGACTCACATTCCCCATCTGACTCCGCTCAGCGCACACTTCCCTCTCACGTCCCCCTCCCTCCCTCCGTCACGAGGGCTAAGCCACCCCACCCCACCCCATCCCTACGTTCAACTGTGGCGATCAACCACGTGGCGTGACAATATAAAATAGAAACTGTATAATAAAACCGAATAAATTATTGCACAAAACAAATCAAATATACAATTCTCTGAAACAAAATCCAGAGCATCTTTAGCAAATCAAAATTGGACATATAATAGATTTTTTTTTAATAGTAGTAATATGAATAATAGTAAGATGCAATCATTTTTGTTCATGTAATTTCCAATTACAAATGTAATAAATACAACCTCAAGAAAGATTCCAATAAATATCAGTGTATGACTAATCTTATTAAAGATGCATTATTTAAGCCTATCTAAATTATTTTTGACATTCCAATCAGTGGATTATTTTCTGTATGTTCCAAGTCATAAACTGTAGAATAAAATAACAAAATTTGTCTATTTCTTCTAGTGTGTAATTTCAAAAATAGTTCTAACCTTTCTTTTTTCACAATTAATGAAAAATCTACTTTATTACCTTTCAGTTGGGAGAAAGTTTCATGGCTGCTATAGAGTTTCCTTGACTTCGTTGAACAGGTCATCCCA